TTAAATAATTTGTGTGAGATTGCTTATGGAGGCACAGCTAGTGTTTACCACTCTTCAGTCCTCCTGTATATCTTATGCTGCCTAAAATATTTCCTTGCCCATTGTAGATGCCCAGTAACCCAGATAACTTTTGAATTAAATTAACACATGGGCTAGCATGAAGCTAAGTTGCCTTAGATGATGGTGGATCTTAGAAACAGAGGCCCATATGAAGTCACTGAGAACCTCAGCAGGATTCCTGAAGCCCCTGGGCTCATACAGATGTGATTTCTGCTTCTCAGTTAGTACAGCAGTAATATAAGGAAATGTGGAAAAAATAAGTTTAAAAGCTTCTAAAGGTTTTACTTCACAGAACCTACTCTATTAAGTTGAGGGAATAAAATTTGGATATAATTAGAGCAAAAGAGTACCTCAGAAGTTTGGTTATAAAAATAAGTAACTTTGTTTAGTGATACAATTGAACAAATCAATGAAGGCTAACTTAATTGACCTGTCAGTGTTAGAATATGTTAACATTTAGGTTTGATGACACTGCTGGGAACATCTGTTGTGCACTTGATAAGTGAATTATGTATTTTCATCTTCCGTTTTACCCTCTTTTCATCCAGATGAAGAATCTGGATTAAGGAATATCCTCATGTAGAAAGTCAATTGGGAAAGCCCTCTATTTCAGAAATAAATAGTACATTGTCACACAAGCCTTTTCTTCTCACACATTCTGGTCTCTTAACTACATTAGTGTTCGTTGGCATTAACAGTGTAGTGTGCCCAGAAATCAGTCCCAAGTAGCTTTGGGGAAAGAACTTGGTGGGGTGGAAGAAAATTAAAAACTGACGATGAAAGGGCAAGTTTGAGTGTTTATGACTTTAAGTTACCTGTGCACCCTCTACCCTCTTACCATGGTCATTTGAGAGGTAGCTGATTATTCTGCCAGGTCGTTGTGAAAATGACAAGTCGGATTATGGACTTTCCCAGATCATAAGCACAGGAATGAAATGCTCTGCATTTGTATCCAGGTTCAAGAAAGGTTGACTTTCTAAGTCGGTCACTATTTGGGGGAAGAGAACGCTATCACCTTTGTAAAGTTGTGAATTATGAAAGACATTTCTGTTGCATTACTGAATGTCCCTTGGGGTTGATTTCATTTATAACATTGCCTCAGGCCTTCTCCTGCATCCTGTTGGAATGACCTCCTTTTCAACCCTGTGCTGGCAGCTGTAATATGGCTCTGTCCCCTGGATCCTTCAGGCTTGTCACATGGCAGGCATGAACTGTGACCCCTTTGTTCCTTAGCCAGATCATTAGGTCTTTGTAAATTTTTCCTGCTTAACAATTTTGCCTTGTTTTCTTTTCTCCTCTTCCCTCTTTGCTCCCCTTTTTATTTCCTGCCTAGCCAAGGTTGTTTTCTGTAGTGCTTTATTTTTTTTATTGAAGTATGTAACACGAATGCAGAAAAGTACACAAATCATAGACTCACTGAATTTTCGCAGCAAATATCCTCCCATGCATACAGTACTCCGATCAAGAAAGAGAACATCACCAGAAAATCTTTCCTAACCCCTTCTAGTCCAGTTCTCTCCCTCAAGGGGAATCATTATCCTTACTTCTGTAGCTATGCCTGTTTTTAAACTACATCGAAATGGAATCAAACTGTCTATATTCCTCTGTGTCTGCATCCTTTCATTTAACACTTTTGTGATATCCCTGTTACTCAGTTTGTTATTGCTGTGTAGTATTCCATTTGTATGAATATTCCACAATTTATGTATTCTACTCTTACTGGACATTTGGATTGTTTCTAGTTTAGGGCTGTTATGAAGTGTAGTGCTAAACATTCTCATACATGTCTTTGGACGAACATAGGACATGTTTCTGGGTATTTACATAGAAATAGAATTGCCAAGACATAATGTATCCATCTAACTGATTTCAAAATTCATACAAAACACTGAACAACTGGTTTTAGGGAAACTCTTGGTGGGAAACATTTGTAAATATATATAGATTCAGCTTTAGCATAATATATCCAATTTTTGGCTGAGAAAATTGCCTCTACTTAAATGTACTATCATTTTAAACAGATAACTCCTGTATGCAACAAAATTGCTACTCAACTGCCCATGACACACTTTTTAAACTTTCTTCCTAATGTATACCTTTTAATCCAAAGCTGGTGGGTCCATTCTATGAAAATATTTTAATGGTGATAATTTATAAGAGTTCAGATTACATCTGAGTTGCACAACTTCTAAGTGGTAATGTTCGCGTGGAAGAGGGACATGCTGGTGCTTAGTGCTTGACTGCCACTCTTAGCTGAAATTGTAGAGCTGACACGTTTGTACAAATTGTGTTCATTACCAAGAATCCTGCAAAAGTGATGCAAGACTGGCTGTGTGCTGTACGTAGGTGGGCTCCATTTATGCAGCCAGGCAGTTGTGCAGCCAAAGACGTCCTTTTTGTCTTTTCTTAAAATGTGGACTTTCCAAAATTTGTCCCATGGCTACTTTTGAGGAGGTTTAACCAAAGGAGTATAGAAATGTGATTGTGATATCATATCCCCCAAAACTGAATAGTATCTTTTAAGGAAATTTTATTTGACCATTAGATAAAGTGACCCCCGGTCATTCTGTGAACATGCGTGAATTAAGTTGACTTGCTTTGACCATAGTGTTTTGGAGATCATAAAAAGGCCTTTCCTCCCCTCCATCCAAAAAAAAAAAAAATGTAGAGGGAATAATTATAACTTGATTATTATAAAAGAATAGTAGTAGAACGAGAAGACCTGCTTCCTATGTTAGATAAGCATCTTTTCTTGTATAAGTGTTTTGGGTGGAGAAAGGAGGGTTCCCAGCCCTATCAAAATGTTTTTGAAATAAACTATAGTTAAAAAAAAATTAAGAGAATCAAGGATTTTGTTTTTATAAAATTATCCTTTGTCTAGGAATTCCGTATTTATTTTTTTCTTCCAATCTTATTTTTTAAATAGTGGTATGTAGACATTGATATTTAGAAAACTGTCTTAATACAGGCATATTGGATTTAATTCATTTTTTAATTAAATATTGGGGTGCATTAGTTAATAAAATTATAGGTTTCAAGTATACAATTCTATGATACATCATCTTTATATTATATTGTGTGCTCACCACCCAAGGTCAGATCTTCTTCCATCACCTTACATTTGACCCCCTTTACCTTTTACTACCCCCACTCCCTTCCCCTCTGGTAACCATCATACTGCTGTCTGTGTCTATGAGTTTTTGTTTGTTTTTCTTGTTTGTTCATTTGTTGCTTTCAGTTTTATACCCCACATATGAGTGAAATCATAAGGTCCTTGACTTTTTCTGTCTGACTTATTTCACTTAGCATGAATTTCTCAAGATCCTCTATGTTGCCACAAATGGTAGTATTTCATCCTTTCTTATGGCTGAGTAGTATTCCATTGTATATATATCACATCTTCTTTATCTAATCATCTATTGAGGAACAGTTAGAACTCACATTGGTTCTGCTTTAAACCACTACATTCAATTCAGGAAATAATTTGCTATTAATCTACATTCTTCTGTGTTCTCTACTAAGTCCTACATGTCATAGAAATGATAGCCCCTATCCTTAGAAGGCTTATGATGTAGTGGTTATAGGGTGGTGATGGTAGCCTATACTATAATGCTACATAAGGTAATTGCCACAGTGAAAATTCCTTGCAGGAAGAGGAGGGGCAAGTGTACCCATTTAAAATGGGTCTTAAAAGATGAATAGATTGGCCTGGAGTGGCCTTTCGCTGATCTTTGCCTTTTGGCTGGAGTTAAGATGCTTTGTAAAGGAGCAATGGGAAATAAGGCTTGGGGGGAAGCCAGTGATGAGTTTATACCTGATGTGATAGATAATATAGCACAGTGACTGAGAGCACTTCATGTATTTATTTATGTATGTATTTATTTATTTATTTATTATTTTTTAATCCTCACCCAAGGGTATGTTTTTATTGGTTTGAGAGAGAGAGAAAGAAAAACATTGACATGAGAGAGAACATCAGTCGGTTGCCTCCTGTACTCATCCTGACCAGGGGATTGAACTTGCCAGCTTTTGATGTACAGGACAATACTCTAATCAGCTGAGCCCCTTGGCCAGGGCACGAGCACTCCCTTTAGATTAAATTAGAAATTGAGTCCCAGCTCAATATTGCTATGTCATCTAGAACAGGTTGCTTTTAATCTGTCTAAGCTTACTTTCCTCATTTGATAAATGAGACATTACTCATATAACTTGCTGCAATTCTATATAAAAGATAAGAGTTGATGTGTAGAAAGTGCTTAACAAGTGCTCAAGGAGCTACTCTGGACGATGGGGAGCCACTGAAGTTGACTCATTTTGACCATAGTGTTTTGGAGACCATAGAAAGAGCTTCCCTCCTCTCCGTCAAAACAAAACAAAAATATAGAGGGAATAATTATAATTTGATGGTTATAAAAGGATAGTGATGGAACCAGAAGATTTTTGAAACAGAGTGGTGGGATCTGAACCATGTAAGTCTTTTACTTTTATTTTTGTAATTGACATACAAAAGACTGCGCACATTTAAATTATACATTCTTATAGGTTTTTACATACACATACACTGTGAAGTCATCACCACAATCAAAATAGTTGACCATACCTGTTATTCCCAAAAGTTTTGTCTAAGACCTTCAAAGAGGAAAATCTGACCTGCAATGTGCAGCAAAGGATGTAGTGAGGTAGAACCTGGAAATAGAGAAATCAGTTAAGAGGCTGTGGCCATGGTCCAGGTGAGACAAAGAATGAAGGAGATCATGAACTAGCTGTGCTGGCAGTTGGGCACCCCCAAGAGACCAGGCTTCTGGAGGGCAGGGTTGAGCCTACATCATTATATTGTCTCCAGCAGTAACCCAGTGGCCAGAGGCTCTTACCTAATGAACTGACAAGCGTCCCTTGATGAAAGATTGTTTATTTTAAACTTGTTTCTCTCTTCTGTTTAGGGCTTAAAAGACAACCTTCCTTCTTCTGGGACACCCAGCCTGACAGCTACCAGGCAGTTGCTTCGTCCAAGAATCACTAGAGTCTGCCTCAGGGACTTGATATTCTGTATGGAACAGGAAAGGGAGATGAAGTATTCACGAGCACTATACCTTGCCCTTCTGAAGTGACCACTCCATCTCCATCCAGATCCTTGCTGTTTACTGCCAAAGAAGACTTAAAGAGCATCGTTGCATTGTCCTGAAATTTCAGTTTCTGGAAAATAATCACCAGTAGGGAAGACCATTGTTTACAGTTATAAACTTTTCTTAAATCTTACTTCTATATCCCATAGGGTTCTTAATGACCAGAATTCAACTTTGTCTTCTGAAAATTGGTCATGAAATATAGTTTACGCAGAAATAGGCATCTGCTTACCTGTGCAATTAATCATAGCAAATTAAGACCCTGTTTGTTACTTACCTGCTTTATTTGCCAAACTGTTAACAGGTGAGGCGTCTTTCCCTAAGACAGCCTGGTTGAGGTGCAGGGGAAAGAGGAAGAGTCACTGCTTACCAAAGAAACTCTATTCCATCCTGTATGAGACCTGTCTCAAACTGTTTAGGTTTTCTGGGCTGGAATCAGAAGTTGCTTAGCTAATCATGATAGTCGCCTTCTGTAGCTGAAGGTGACAAACCACAGAGTTAGGGCCTGTGGTGACTTTGGTCAGCTGAGTCGCAGTGTTGTCAAAACTGAGACTAATGGGGATGGTTTGTGCCTGAGGTTGCTGTTCTCTGGTTCATGTCACCATATGCTGCATCTGAGACCAAGTTAGGGGACATCCTTGTTAGAGAAACCTTAGAATTGGAGTTACTGATATACCTCATTGAAAAATGGAAAACGGGGAAGTATCAGAAGGAATGATGGGGCGTTGCACTCAAACTGATGAGGGAGAGATGAAAATGGAATCATAAAACAGGAAATGCACTGCATATGCCTAAAGAGGGCAGTGGTGAAACTGGAACTCCAGTGCAACTGTACATGTTTTGTTAACAGAAAACAATTACAGCCCAACCAAAAAGGAAAATGTTACCAAACATTTCCAAATTATAGTATTTCAAAATGAAGTTCTTTGTTTTGTGTATTATTTTAAATCTCAAGGACAGTTTTGTAAAATCTTTTAGTCACCCTATGTTTTAAGCATCTTGTTGGATTTAAAAAAATCCTAATGATGATTTAAAAATTGCTAACAATAGGGATTCTATTTTGGGTTCTATGCTCAAAAGATAATGTTAGCATCTCTTGGACTCTTGGCTCTACATATATTATGAGAAGCATGTTACATATATTCACCTGAGAAAGAAGCTGATGTTTTGTAAAGCAAACACTGTTTTGTTTTGTGTTTTTTAAATTCCACCTGTGTGGTGTGTAGCTGGTGACAAATGCTGTGGTTACAGTCACATAAAGAGAGAATAAATTCTCCAAGAAAGTTTTAAAAAATGGAAAAGTATGTTTCTTACAAAAAGAATTCCAGGAAGAAAACACCTCAAGTATGTTCTTCCCATTGGGACTGTTATGGCCATGCTCTATACTCTAGTAAGTTTTAAATTGGCCACTTTTTTTTTGTTTCAGCAAGTTATTATGTAAAATGTTATAAATTATGTATATGTTAAGAGTACTTTACGAAGAGATCTATACCTAAAGTTGTTTTTGTATATTTAAATGCTTAGCTTTATTTTTTGTAAAGTGCAGCATATTCTCATATTTGTGTATAATCTTATTGATCAGATGTTTAAAATTATTTCAAATACTTCATTAAAATAATTATTTTATTATAAGAATAACTTCGTTCAGTCTCTGCCTTTGAAAACCAGTGTCTTTCGCAGTCCTCTCTGAAGCTGGGGGCTGGGCCAGTGTATCTGCTAGGGAGTGGAGCTTTCTTGTCACCTATTGCTTTGAGGTGTCAGCTTTTGGGTTCCAGAGCCTCACTTCAGGTCCAGGTTTTACCATACCACTTTCTTCAAAATAGTTGTCCATTTGCTGTGCTGTTTGGCTCACAAAGAAAGTTTAGCATATTCATTACAAAAGCTTTTCTTTGGCCATCAAGGTTTTTTTTGTCACAAAGGAATTCTTTTTCAAAGTTAATTTTTAATATACATTTTAAAACTTAATGTCTTGAAGCATATTTTATGCACAAAAGAATGAATGCAATATATCCAAGGTATTGTTCCTCTCAGTTTTTGCAAAATGGTGGCCTTGGGGTGGATTTGATCTATAAATGCATTTTCTGTGACTCACAGTGTTGACAATGTTTTAGTTTACAGAAATCTATTTCCAGTTCTGAAAAATGAGAACATCTGGAATAATCACTAGGTGTAGCCTGCCTTTTGTATGGCAGCGCATTAGAGCCCACCAGCGCCTGTCCAGTTTAGATATGGGGGCATATGTGTACCTGCCCTATCTCATTCCTTTGAGCATTGAAGTCTGTGACCCTCTGCCTTCAATATGTATCCTGACTGATGAACAGTACAAGGGGGAAATACCAGAAAGTCTCTGTTTACTTTTTTAAAGCAATTTACTGAGGCATATTTTACATATAAAATTCATCCATTTCATCCGCTTTACTTTTAATGTGACTGATCGTCAAAAATGGTCTCCTGAACATCTGTAAGACCCTTCTTCTCTTAAAAAGAAGCCGTTTAACATTCTTTTAAAGCCTGTATTTCTTAAAAACTGCATTTGGAGTAAATTTTGTTTCATTAGCGTTTTGGCTAAACTTTACTTAGAATTAAGACCATTCATACTAGTTATGTCATGGTTACAGCAAAAGAACACAAGCAATGGTAGGGCATGTTCTGTAGAAAAATAAGGAAGCAAGATTACAGGCCGATTAAGTTGACTATCTCTATGCCTAGTTGTACAAAGAACCAAGTGAGTGTTTATAAAACTCTGACCTCAACAAGACTCAGTGATATAAAAGTATAAAACGTCATATGTTTATACATGACCTGGTAGCCATTTCCTATTTTGCTGTTTTTAGCATTATTTCCAGATAGTTTCACATGCCTCACCAGACTGAAACTTTTTTTTACATCTGGTATCAATATCTTTTCCTCTGACTTTTAACCATCTCTTAGTTTTTTCATATGCATTGCAATTGTGTTCATTGGTACAGTTGCTTTTCCACTGATGTTGTTCCACCTATTGGAAACTGGCCCTCGGGAGAATATTTTTGCCATGCTTTTCTGTAGGGGAATATTGAGAGTCCTGTGCTGTGCAAGTGTTCACCGACTAGGTGAGAGGAACAGAAAGATAACTACTGTGTTTAGAATCTGTAGACCTTGCACATTATTTGTGAGAAAATACTCTCAAGAAACTCATTTTAAGACTGTTGACTTTGTTGGTAAGCTACAATGAGAGCAATTTTTTAAATTTTTATTTTTTAATATGTCGATTTCAGAGAGAGGAAGGGAGAGGGAGAGAGAGAGATAGAAACATCAATGATGAGCAAGTCATTGATCAGCTGCCTCCTACACGCCCCCTACTGGGGATTGAGCCCGCAACCCAGGCATGTGCCCTGACTGGGAATCGAACCTCGATCTCCTGGGTCCTAGGTTGATGCTCAGCCCCTGAGCTATGCTGGCTGGGCAATGAGAGCAATTTTAATGGCAACTCTCCTTTAAAATAGAATGCCAGATTTACATCTTTCTCTTGTAGATGGCACTGAGGCAATATTGTCCTGGCTGCCCATCTCAGTCTTGCCTCTTACCGGCTGGGCACACAGCTAGACTGAATTTCTGAGTCTCCTTGTAGTTCAATGTGGCTGTGTGCCCAACGTCTGGCCAATGACATGTAGGCAGAAGTGATGTGTAACATTGCAGAGCTGGCTCGTGACATCCTCTTTAACCTGTTGTGTCAGATCTCATGTTCTCTTTCCCTTTCCACAGAGACCGCAGAGGGCTCCTGATGAAGATGGCAGAGCCACCATCTGGAAGGAGCCTTGGTCACTGAACTGTGGCTTGGAACAAAATTGCCTGCTAATCAAGAACACCCATTTGGGATACAAGTGAGAAGCATCTAATGTAAACCACTAACACAATATATGTTAGAGCAGTTAATATACATACAATAACCATATATATATTATATAACTATAGCAGCTAAATTAACTTATACAGATAGCTACTACTACTGTTATTTCTATTTTACTGATAAGGACTCTGGTGTGTTAAGAGATTTGCCAATTTAGTGGAAGTCACAGAATGTAGAGGAGTTGGAATTTGAACCTAGGTCTGTACAACCCAGAGCCTGCATTCTAGAATCCATATAGGGGGTTTGTTGTGCTTGGTTTTTGTTTGTTTTTTTAATGCTTTGGAACTAATCTCTCTGTCCCATGTGACAGCACTTTAAATAGCTAAGGATAGCTATCCATTTCCTTTCCTAGTATTCCCCTCTGTAGGCTGAACTAGAATCCATGATGTAGATTCCAGTTCTCAGTATTAATGAATTATTCTCTTGGTCATACTCTGCTATGCTAAAGGCCACATTAAAACAAGGTTCCTGCCTTAGCTGGTTTGGCTCAGTGGTTAGAGCGGCCTGTAGACTGAAGGGTCCAGGGTTCCATTCTGGCTGAGGGCACATACCTGGGTTGCAGGCTCGATCCAGGCCCTGGGTCAGGGCACATTCGGGAGGCAACCAATCAATGTGTCTCTCACATGGATGTTCCTCTTTCCCCCTCCCATTCTCCCACACTCTCTGAAAAGCGATGGAAAAAATATCCTCAGGTGAGCAGTAAAAACAAACAAGCAAAAACCCATGGTTCCTCAATGGTGTCCCATGTGTCACCCCCCTCCCCCGCCATGCCTGCTGACAGCGGCAACAACTTTGAGGGCTCCATGCTGGCCCTAGGTGTTGACTTTGCCACTCATAGGGTAGCCAAGTTGCTGAAGCCAAAGAAAGTGAGCAAAATGGGGATTATTTTACTATCCACACATGCAGCAGCCTAAGGAACTAACGTGCTCAATTTAAATTTGGAGAAGATAACAAAGGCCTGGGTAACAGAAAATGAAAGAGCTTGTCCAGAGAGGGAAAAGAAGAACAGAGGCTGGGCCATTGGGTTGAAGGGGGTGAGCTCTACCTGCAAATGTTCTGTGAAGGCCAAGCGTGCAAGCAGACATTCTAGAGAGCCTGACACATCCACCAACAGTGCCACATGTGGGTGCAGCGTAATGCCGAATTATATTCTAGAATGAACAGGCTTTCATCTCTCCTGATGTAGTGATGGGGCCTGTGATCAGAGAGATGTCACACAGCCTGTACCAGAAACCATTTGGAAAGCCTATAAGCTTCAATAAACCTGTCCAGTGACTGGGTGTGTGTGAACATGCTTCTTTCCCTTTGAGTGGTGAACATACAATGCACTCTACTGATAATGTATTATAGAATTGTACACTTAAAACCTATATAATATTTTTTTTTAAGATTTTTATTGATTTTTTTTTTTTTTTTAGAGAGACATCAATGTGAGAATGTAACATCCATCGTGGCCCCTATTGGGGATCCAGCCCACAACCCGGGCATGTGCCCTGACTGGGAACCAAACCAGCAACTTTTTGGTTCATGGGATGTGCAACCAACTGAGCCACACTGGCCAGGGCAAAACCTATATAATTTTATTAACAATGTCACCCCAATAAATTTAATAAAATTTAAAACAAAAACAAAAAGTGGTTCCCTATGCTAAATGCAACCCATCAGATGGGACTGGAGAGATGGAGGCTAGCTGGACCATTTACTGCTTAAGTCAGAATTCAATGCTGCTATGTTCAAAGTCAGATGGTGGTAATGTGAACTCTTGGTTAACTAATTGCCCCGGGTTTTAACTCTCGCTATTCAGAGAGTAGCGAAGGGACCGGGAGCATTGTCTTCACCCAGGAACTTGTTAGAAACGCAGGATATCAAGACCCATTCCACACCCAGGTGATTCCTGTGCTCTCTTAAACTTTAAGAAGCACTTCTCTAACTGATCAATTAGATCAACCTAAAGGGAAAATACTGCTACATTCTGCTATGCTTCATTTTGTAGGTTTCAGCCTATTCTAACCAGTCATGATCATTTAAATTTTGATTCTGTCACTTACTGGGGACATTTGAGTTCAAGTGACTAAATTAACTGTGCAGCTCATTGTCCCTCTCAGCCTGTGTCTCCCACAAATTTCACAAGCATGCCTTCTGGGTTCGTTCAGCTTGTTCATAGTGTGTTGAACAAGACAAAACCAGTTGTAAAACCATGAAGCATGTTGCTGGCCTCCAACATCAGTCTGTTAATTAGCAGATACCACTCTTTGGCCAAGTATGACTGTATCTAGCTGATAGTACTTTTGCAGAGTTCACAAAGCTTTCATGAGCAACTCCGGAGAACTCGCTCATTTACACACACCACAGCACATTAACAGTTATTTCAAAGAAGAGCATGACAGTGGTTTAGAAGATCCCGTATGATATGAGCTAAATTGTGTGCCCCTCCCACCAGATTGATACATTGATGTCCTAACACTGTACCTCAGAATGTGACTGTATTTAGAGGCAGAGTCTTTAAAGCTGTAGGTAAGTTAAAATGAGGTCATTAGGACAGGCCCTAATTCAACATGACTAGTGTCCTTACAAGAAGAGATTAGGACACACATGGGTACAGAAGGAAGACTATGTGAGGACACAGCAAGAAGGCAGCCATCAACAAGCCAAGGAGAGAGGCCTCAAACACAACCCTGCTGACACCTTGATCTGGGACTTCTAGGCTCTAGAATTGTGAGATTATAAATAAATGTCTGTTGTTTAACAC